TACCGGCCAATAACTTGCCTATGTACAAAATGGAAGCTCCTGTCAGGCATCATAGCAGCTAAGATGAAAAGGCACATGGCTCAATACATGCACCCCTCCCAGAAGGGAATAGGCAGTAACACCAGAGGAGCCAAGCACCACCTACTAGTGGATAGAGCATCAAGAACTCAAGTGCGGCATATACCAGGGTGATGCACTATTCCCGCTGCTGTTCTGCATAGGCCTGAACCCCCTCAGCCAGACAATCACAAAGACTGGCTACGGATACCAATTCCGAAGCGGAACAATCATCAGTCGCCTCCTCTACATGGATGACATCAAGATCCACACTACCAGGATTTACAGCAACGACATTGGGATGTCATTCGGACTGGACAAGTGCGGTCGCATGGTCTCAAAGAGAGAGAAGATGATCAGAACTGAGGGGGTTGAAATACCAGAAGGCCACATTACAGATGTTCAGGACAGCTACAAATACCTTGGGGTGCCACAGGCTAATGGAAACCACGAGGAGATAGCAAGAAAGACTGCCACAGCTAAATACCTACAAAGAGTAAGGCAGGTCCTGAAAAGTCAGCTGAATGGGAAAAACAAGATCCAAGCCATCAACACATATGCCCTGTCAGTCATCAGATACCCCACTGGTATAATAAACTGGCCAAAGGAGGAGATGGGGGCTACTGACATCAAGACAAGAAAGCTCCTCACAATGCATGGAGGGATCTAGCACTCTGAGACTTTATACCAAGCGTAGCGAGGGAGGCCGAGGGCTAGTGAGTGTCAAGACCACTGTCCAGGATGAAACAACTAAGATCCAGGAATACATCAGGAAGATGGCCCCCAAAGACAAATGGCTTGGTGAGTATCTCAGGCAGGAGAAAACCGAAAGTGAGGACAAGAAAGAGGAAGGAGAACCATCATGGAGGGACAAGCCGCTGCACGGCGTGTACCACAGACAAATAGAAGAAGTGGCTGATATCAAAAAATCCTACCTGTGGCTGGAAAAGGCTGGACTAAAGGACAACACAGAGGCACTAATCATGGCAGCACAAGTACAGGCACTCAGTACAAGATCAATAGAGGCTGGGGTCTACCACACCAGGCAGGACCCCATGATGCAGACTGTGCAAAGATTCCTCTGAAACAATACAGCACATAACAGCAGGGTGTAAAATGCAGGCAGGAACGCCATAACCAGGTAGCTGTCATAGTGTACAGGAACATCTGCCATGAGTATGGGCTGGAAGTCCCAAGGTAAAAATGGAAGACACCTCCTAAGGTAGTTGAGAATTACATCAGAAAACATCAGAGGTCTCTGTCCAGAAGAGCGCAGTCCTAGGAACAGCTAAGATACTGCGCAGAACCCTCAAACTCCCAGGCCTCTGGTAGAGGACCCGAGCTTGAGGATGACACATACCACCCCACGAGGAGTGAGAAAAACAGTTTTTATATATATATACGAATATATGAATATGTCTATCATTACTCCCAAGAACTTAACTTCCTTAACTCTCTACTGTCACATTATCTATCGGGAAACGTAAATTTGTTTTACTTTCACAGCTCTCAATCAACATAAACTTGGGGTCCTCCAAATTACATGATAGTTTGAAGAAGAATTAGGAATTCTAGACACTTTGCAGATGTCATTAAAATAAAGGAATAATAATTTTGGCCCCAGTACTGACCCCTAGAAGACACCACAAAAAATGTCCAAGCATGATGACTGGTAGTCATCCATTTGCACAAATAGTTTCCTGTTGCTTAGATAACTTTTCATCCAGAGTAGTACTACTCCCCAGATGCCATAAAACTGCAATTTCTTAATAAATATTTTGTGATTTATTTATTTATGAATCAATAAATACACCAACTGCAGATTTCTTATTATCTAAGGCGCTGGTGACTTCTTCTATCAATTCAATGACGGCCATTGCTGTAGATCTTTTTGACATAAATCCATACTGACTTTCAGAAAGCAATTGATGGTTATTAATGAATGTATCTAATCTATCCACAAATAATTTCTCCAAAATTTTGGAAAACTATGTAAGTAGGGAAACATGCCTATAATTTGTGAAATGGTGCCTGTCCCCAGATTTATGAAGTGGAATAACTTTGGCAATTTTCATCTTTTGTGGAAATTTACCTTACTGAAATGATAAATTGCAGATGTGAGTCAGAGGCTGAATAATATCCTCAATTAACCTTTTAATTACTGTTAAATCAATTCCATCACAGTCGGTTGACCTCTTGATGGAACATTTATTGACAATATCTGTAATTTCCCCTTCTCTCACAGCAGTGAGAAACATTGAATGAGGATTTCCGCTGATCAATGTTTCATTCAGAGCTCCAGTTGTTGTAGGATCTGGGATTTTTTTCTGCCAGTTTTGGTCCCACACTCACAAAATATAGAAATTATGAACAACGTCATTAATGTCCTCAAAATTGTTATCATTATTCATAAAAAACTGCAGAAATTTTTGTTTTGTTATTCACTTGTTGGTATCCAAGAATACCAGTTAATTTATTCTTATATTTATTCTCTACCTCCAAAGACCTATGCCTTATGAAATATCTGTATAGTTTTCTTTTTGAAGGCATTTTATGAATGCTTTGTGATCAATGGAGCTTCTGAGTATTTGCAGTTTTGGGCAAGCTACTTGTCCAGAGTAGTGAGCTAAGCTATCAGTTACTCAACAATAAATTAAGCTTCACTATACAAAAGCTAGCACCTAAAGAATTATAGCAAGCTAATTTACACTAATGTGTTAAAAGTAGCTTAACTACATCAGAAGCTACTTAACATTGTACCAACCTAATGTCAATCCAAAATGAGTCTGATACACTCGTTAACACATTTATTAAAGATCAGCCAATAACATAACACAATGTAAACATTGCTTTATGATCAGAATAAAAAATAAAAACTAAAGTAATTACTAGTAGACAAAATACTAAACAATCTGCTGT